GCGTGAAAAGCTCCCACACTTTTGAGGATTTTGTTCTTGTTTAGTCATCGATCAGGTAGAAATAAAATAGCCCAATTTAAAGCTAAAACAGTACAACATAATGCGAGACCTGGAACTTAAAAAAAAATCTGTATGTGTAAAATCATAGTGTAAGCTATATATACTAATACGTTTTATATACCTTTTAAATTAAATTGGTGAGATTTTCCAACTTCCTGCTAGTTTGAGTTGGCTATAAATAGGCTAGTTTGAGTTGGTCTATTTATAGTACTTGGTCAGTGCCTTACTGCACTTATATTTTTCAACTTAATATTTCTTGCTTATAATTTTTAGTTTTGAAAATGACACATAGTCCTGCAGTAGGGTCTTCAGTACTGTTTCTGTCATATAAGACGCCATAGATGATACTTAAGCTTACATTCTTCTTTATCTTGAACATCTGTTTTATTCAGCTATATGTTGTTGCTTTATCTAGCCTCAAACTCTCTTGCTACCATAGTCTATTTTTTAGCATTAGGAACATTTTTATTGAAAAAAAAAAGAGATAAAAAAAAAAAACTTGCAACATACTGACCTTTTGTAGAGCAGTGCAGGGAAAAAAAACATGCATTCGCCGTTTTTAGCATCTGCTCATTTAGTTTTAATCCAAAATAACTTGCACAACCATGCTCAAAGATACATGGGTAGTGGTCAGAGTGGGAGTTGAAACTCGTGACGTTTGAATTCAGGGTCCATGTGCTTTATTCACTGTGCCACAGCTGCTCACGTTACATTAGAAATAATATAATTGTAAAATGCCTGCTTCTTTTACTGTTTTTCAGTCATGTCTGAGCTTGTGCCAAGTGTCCAGGAGATAAAATATGTGCTGAGCAATGGCACAGCAATAAGATGGAGAAGATTAGTGAGCCCCTGTTTATGAGAAATCGATAAGTTAGTTAATTACTAACATCTGTTTTAGATTGGCAGTGGGATGCCTTAAACATTCCCATGTTGTGTTCTGTGTTAAAGTATTTGTAAAATGCTTATTTTTTTCCTGATTAGGCTACAGTAAGACAGATCTGAGAGACAAGGCCAACTGAGACTGCAATGACAATGCAAGAGACAAGGACAATGGAGACTGCAACGGCAACGTGAGAAACAAGGCCAACTGAGACTACAACAGCACTGTGAGAAACGAGGCCAGCGGAGACGCAACGGCAGCGCGAGAGACAAGGCCAACTGACACTGCAACGGCAACACGAAAGACGTTGACAACTGAGACTGCAATGGCAACGTGAGAGACGAGGTCAACTGAGACTGCAACAGCACCATGAGAGATGAGGACAGCGGAGATGCAACGGCAACATGAGAGACAAGGTCAACTGACACTGCAAAGGCAATGCGAGAGACGAGGACAACGGAGACTGCAATGGCAATGCGAGAGACGAGGCCAACGGAGACTGCAGTGGCAATGCGAGAGACGAGGCCAACTGACACTGCAATGGCAACACGAGAGACGAGGACAATGGACATGACAATGGCAATGAGAAAGACGAGGCCAACTGACACTGCCATGGCAATGCGAGAGACGAGGACAACGGAGACTGCAACGGCAACGCGAGAGACGAGGCTAACTGACACTGCAACGGCAACGCGAGAGACGAGGCTAACTGACACTGCAACAGCAACGCGAGAGACGAGGCCAACTTACACTATAATGGCAACACGAGATACTAGGACAACGGAGACTGCAATGGCAACGCGAGAGACGAGGCCAACTGACACTGCAACGGCAACGCGAGGGACGAGGCTAACTGACACTGCAACAGCAACGCGAGAGATGAGGACAACGGAGAATGCAACAGCAACTTACGACGTGAAGCTGTGCCACGCACAAGTTCTCTGTCGTTATGTAATTAAACTAAACTTTTGAAGCTGTGTATGTAACATACCAGTGGAGCAGCTATGATGACAGGAAAGATCAGTGGGGTTATAAAGAGCAAAGGAGGTTTCTCCTTCAGTGATTTCTACCACAATTTTATGTTTGGATATTGTTAATAATTCAGTAGAGACTGTGGGGACTGATGTAGTTTATATACACCTGAAACAGTGAGAGATAAGTTTGTGACTGTATATTCCTTGCTTAATTTCTTTTTAACCATGACCAGATGTGACCAGTATGATTTAGATGACTCATGAAATCTGTGTGTTCCTTTGTGTTGTGAATGCTTTTCTTTTTTCACTATTATTCTCTAGTTATTGATGTTACTCAATAATTTATGCTGATCTTTTTTTCTCATCTGTGCTCCTGATATATCTGAATGTTTGCGGACACGGATATCCCCGGATATGATGTCTTTTCGCGCAGTGACAGTCTGATTTCCAGCCTTTGTAAGGATGCATTGATGTATTGTACACTGTTTATTGTATGGGTTACATGGTAGATATATATATACACTGCTCAAAAAAATAAAGGGAACACTCAAATAACACATCCTAGATCTGAATGAATGAAATATTCTCATTGAATACTTTGTTCTGTACAAAGTTGAATGTGCTGACAACAAAATCACACAAAAATCATCAAAGGAAATCAAATTTATTAACCAATGGAGGCCTGGATTTGGAGTCACACACAAAATTAAAGTGGAAAAACACACTACAGGCTGATCCAACTTTGATGTAATGTCCTTAAAACAAGTCAAAATGAGGCTCAGTATTGTGTGTGGCCTCCACGTGCCTGTATGACCTCCCTACAGCGCCTGGGCATGCTCCTGATGAGGTGGCGGATGGTCTCCTGAGGGATCTCCTCCCAGACCTGGACTAAAGCATCCGCCAACTCCTGGACAGTCTGTGGTGCAACGTGACGTTGGTGGATGGAGCGAGACATGATGTCCCAGATGTGCTCAATCGGATTCAGGTCTGGGGAACGGGCGGGCCAGTCCATAGCTTCAATGCCTTCATCTTGCAGGAACTGCTGACACACTCCAGCCACATGAGGTCTAGCATTGTCCTGCATTAGGAGGAACCCAGGGCCAACCGCACCAGCATATGGTCTCACAAGGGGTCTGAGGATCTCATCTCGGTACCTAATGGCAGTCAGGCTACCTCTGGCGAGCACATGGAGGGCTGTGCGGCCCTCCAAAGAAATGCCACCCCACACCATTACTGACCCACTGCCAAACCGGTCATGCTGAAGGATGTTGCAGGCAGCAGATCGCTCTCCACGGCGTCTCCAGACTCTGTCACGTCTGTCACATGTGCTCAGTGTGAACCTGCTTTCATCTGTGAAGAGCACAGGGCGCCAGTGGCGAATTTGCCAATCCTGGTGTTCTCTGGCAAATGCCAAGCATCCTGCACGGTGTTGGGCTGTGAGCACAACCCCCATCTGTGGACGTCGGGCCCTCATACCATCCTCATGGAGTCGGTTTCTAACCGTTTGTGCAGACACATGCACATTTGTGGCCTGCTGGAGATCATTTTGCAGGGCTCTGGCAGTGCTCCTCCTGTTCCTCCTTGCACAAAGGCGGAGGTAGCGGTCCTGCTGCTGGGTTGTTGCCCTCCTACGGCCTCCTCCACGTCTCCTGGTGTACTGGCCTGTCTCCTGGTAGCGCCTCCAGGCTCTGGACACTACGCTGACAGACACAGCAAACCTTCTTGCCACAGCTCGCATTGATGTGCCATCCTGGATGAGCTGCACTACCTGAGCCACTTGTGTGGGTTGTAGAGTCCGTCTCATGCTACCACGAGTGTGAAAGCACCACCAACATTCAAAAGTGACCAAAACATCAGCCAGAAAGCATAGGTACTGAGAAGTGGTCTGTGGTCCCCACCTGCAGAACCACTCCTTTATTGAGTGTGTCTTGCTAATCGCCAATGATTTCCACCTGTTGTCTATTCCATTTGCACAACAGCATGTGAAATTGATTGTCAATCAGTGTTGCTTCCTAAGTGGACAGTTTGATTTCACAGAAGTTTGATTTACTTGGAGTTATATTGTGTTGTTTAAGTGTTCCCTTTATTTTTTTGAGCAGTGTATATATATATATATATTGTACATAAGTCAAATTACATCTTGATGCACTGGAAACAATTATCACGGACACGTTGCGTGGCAATAAAAGAATCAATCAATCAATGATCTACAGCAGATCTCTTTATTATTGATTATGAATTATCTTCAGGTTTTTAAAAACAGTGTATTAATAGAGGAGCATATAGACATCAAATAAATAAAAAGCTTTGGAGATTAACTTACTTTAGATACAAGACATTAAAATGTTTAAAACATGTTCAAACTGCACTGCTACTTCAAAAAATGTGTTGTTGCTGTAATACCACACAACTGAGGGATAAATGTGTAATAATAATAATAATAATAATAATAATAATAATAATAATACACACACATCTTCTAATATGCTGCTCCTTCTGGGTCGCAGAATAATAATAATAATAATAATAATAATAATATTATCATTAATATTAAGAAATGTTTTTAATGTCATGGTTGACTGTTTCAATGATACTCTCTCTTGAAGTGAACCTGCACTGAAAACCAAAACCAGCAAACTCAGTCACACATTCCTAATGAGTTACTGCAAAGCCAAAATGTTTATCTCTAGAGACTGAGAGCTGTGCTTTACAAATCGAACTGCGCAACAGAGGACAATTTATTACAAAAGTCATTTTTGAGACATTTGTATTGATCCAATCATCATGAATTCTTCACACAGTGTTAAAAGCATTAGGTCAAATGATGAAAATGAAAAAAAAAATTTAAAAATGAGAAGTTCCACAGTATTAATGAAGTTAAAGGAAATATTATACTTTCAGTTGTGTTCAAGAATCATAATGTGAGGACAAGTTGCACAGGAATGTGTTGTGAGTCACAATGAAGTGCTTGTGCTTCTGCTGAAGAGTCAAGAGGTCTGAGAAGCTGAAAACTAAACTCACCCAGATACTGCAGTGTCATAGTGAAAGTAATAATCCCATTGGCTGATTTACTGAGAGGTGTCAGTGAGAGAGAGACACACAGAGAGACTGTAGTCAGTCAGCTCTCACTCATGTATGAGTTTGTTTCCTCTACACTGATCAAGATGAAGCTGTGTTTGATTCTCGTCTGTGCAGTTCTTCTCTACACAGAGGCTAAAAGTGAGTAAGAGTGAAAATTTCAGTACTAAGTAGTGAACTGTTGTGCTGGACTGTAATCACTGTAATATTATTATAATTTTATATAATCAACAACATTTAGTGTGTTAACTGTAGATGCTACACTGAAATGTGAGATTTTTGTGTTAGTTTAAATTGTACAGAGCAATCACAAACACTTTAATACTACTACTACTACTACTACTAATAATAGTATGAATAATAATAAAATTTTTATATAGCACATTTCATATATTTTGAAATGCAGCTACAAGTGCTTTAGAGTACAATGACAAAAACAACAGAGAAAGAAAAGAAACTAAAGGTAGAGGCAAATACTAAAATTGCAACAAATAAAAACAATGAAAACAAACAAAACAACAACAACAACAACAACAACAACAACAATAATAATAATAATAATAATAATAATAATAATAATAAGTTAAATTAAATACAAATAAAATTGGGATAAGAGTACCACAGTAAGGATAATTTAAAAGTAATGTAAAAAATAGATGCCAGTAAAAGTAAAAAAATAATGAAAGCTAGTTAGTTAAATCCTAAAGTGAAGATATATATTTTTTAAACAGATCACAGCACTGAAACAAAAGAGATTAAAAGCAGAAATAGTTTTGTCTTGCCCTCAGTAAAGGGTTATACTTGTAAAACAGTGTGAGTGTGTGAATGTGTGCACTGACATGATGTTCTTCTTTTTTCCTCAGTTCAGCACAAGGACATCGCATTAGTCCTGTGCTCTGATACAGAGAAAGAGCAGATATATGGACTGGATGGAGAAGAAAAGTGGCACGCTGACTTCAGTCAGAAAAAAGGAGTGATGACCCTGCCAGAGTTTGCACATCCTTTCTCCTATGTAGAAGGAGCCTATGAGGGGGCTGTTACTAATACAGGAATCTGTAAACAAAACTTGGCTGTTTTTGTAGAAGGTTACAAGAGCCCTGCAGAACCAAAAGGTAAAACATCAACATCACTGCAACACAAAATGTATTTGCAAATAAACTGAACTTAGAAGAGGAACTACGTGCCAAGAGGAAATAATTTATCAAAAATAATGTTCCATAAATAACAAAAAGTCAATATAAAAATCAGACTGTATTGTGATAGTTCACAAAAAGGTTTCTGTGCAACGTACAGCATGGTAACCATTTTAAGTATCAGTCGCACAAACTTAATGGCTTTTTATTTTGTATGGTCATATTGGCTACATTCTGATCAGTTTGCCTGTAAGAAGGCTTTTACACTACACTGTAAAATGAAGTGATATTTATTCTAATGTAAGGACGTCACATTAAACACTGTTTGTGTATATAGATTTTTTTTTAATATAAATTCTACTCCACTTTGCAGTCTAAATGTTGTTCAATAAAAGATGAATATTTTTATCCTCAGATGCCCCTCAAAGTTCAATCTACTCCAAGGACGATGTGGTGCTGGGCTCTAAAAACACTCTAATCTGTCACATCACTGGATTCTACCCGCCTCATGTTGGAGTGTCTTGGAGCAGGAACGATATAGATGTGACAGGTGAAGCTTCTCTCAGCAGATATTATGTCACTGATGATGGAACCTTCAACCTGATCTCTCGTCTGAGCTTCACTCCAGGGGAGGGCGACATCTACACCTGCAGTGTGGAGCACACGGCTCTGGAAAGACCACTGACCAAAACATGGGGTGAGATTTGTACCTGCTTATAGACCTGATTCTATTAAAGGATTTATTAATGATCCATGTGTGTAGCAGTGAATGTACTATTTTCAGAGAGCAAGACTGAACACTGAAATATTTCCAGGACAAACAAACCATTCACATAAAATTAATATCATTTAAAAGTGAAATTATAAATCTTATCAGAACTAAAATAAATATGAAAAAAATACATTTTACATAAATCAGTATTATATGTTTCTCAGAAAGTGAACTGTATGAATTAATAAAACGTGTGTGTGTGTGTGTGTCTGTGTTGTACAGATGTGCAGGACACTCTGCCCAGTGTGGGTCCGTCTGTGTTCTGTGGAGTGGGTCTGGCTGCAGGACTGCTGGGAGTCGCTGTTGGAACTTTCTTCCTCGTCAAAGGAAACAACTGTAACTGAGAGTCTGACTGTCAACAATACAGAAAAGTCATTACAAGATGATTTGCATGTTTGAAGCTTGTGTGATTTTTCTTGTACTCTACATTTTGTCATTTTTCTATTTTTTTGTTTCGATGTTCTACACCATGTCTTTGTGCTGTAATTTTGCACCTAGTGTAATCAAGCCTTTGTCCATTTGAATTCTATGCAACTAAAATTTCTTCATATTGTTATATATTGTTATATTCCCACAGGAGTGTGTTCACATATTTTGAAGACCTAAAATGATTTAGTTGGCCAAAGTAAATAAAGAGTAACTCTAAAGGGTAAAAGAGTAACTCCACAAATTTTTGTTTAATACCTGTTATTTTCCTATAAGCTGATGATTGGAATTAAACCTGCAGTTAAATGAAAAGTAAATAAAACAAGTTTACATTTACATTTTATTGTTACAATAAAAAAGTAAATGTAAAAGAAAAATAAATTGTGATTGGAGAATTGCATTGCATGAAGATCAATATTATTTTTATGTAAACACTTTTTTTATTGAATATTATTAGATAATCAACATCAACTAATGTTGGCATTTTTGCAAGCTTTTAATTAAATCTGAGGACTGGGGAAGAAAGCTTTCATATCATGTCTCACATCTCATTTTCAAGAATTTGGACATTACACTTGAAGTATTCAAATTAAACTTGATCATAAGTATTTGCAATGATATAAGCTCAGTGTTTAAAGTGGAATCAAAATATCTGTTCATCATTTGTTTTTCATGGGAACAGCCATGTAAACAGAGGTTAACTTTCATAAAATGTTCAGTACAGATTAAGCAGTTTGAAATGTAATGCAAACTCTTTAGTCTTGTTTTCTACAAAGAAAACCAGTTTTATGCATAATGGTATTGCTGTTGTTTCTAGTTTAATATAGCAGCATGTAGAAGAGTAAGTCTTATAAGCATGATCTCCTTTCATATAGATAGAACTGTTCAAGTCTGTGAAATCTGGGATATCTTTATCACCTTAAAGTGTGAAATAGACATGAATATATGGAAAAAAGAAAACAAGGTGAACCACAGAAAGCTTCACAGCTGTTTGCTTTCTGGGTGTTTTCAGTGTCTTGTTATTGGACATCATCCAGTTTTTTCACTTTTATGATTCTTGTATTTTAAAGCAAAAATTGTTGAGAAATATATGTGACATTTAGTCCTCACACACACACACACCCAAAACAAGAAATCATAAAACTAGACAACAATTAAATTACAAACTTTAAAAAAATGTCATATACTCCTGATTTCCTTCTTTTAATGAAATCACTATTTACCCATCATCCTCTGTTTGCCTTCCTATCATCTGTCACCTGTAGGACTAATTCTGTCCTCACCTTTAGTCTGAGGAACAGTTTATTCCCTATAGCCATTATGCAACCAAATCAGACCTTTAAAAATCCTTCATAACTGCTAGCTCTGTTACATACACACTTTATACATTCACTGCACTGAAGAACATATACATAGACATTATAGACTACATTTGAAATAAAAACAAATCTAAAACCTTACTTATAAAACGGATAGTTCCGGTCCTAAGATCTGATTGGCTGAGCCACGTTCGAAGCTATTGTAAAATCCCCAATATACCACAGCTATGACTGCCTCACATCAACTGAACTGTATTACTGCTTGTTGGGTATGAATGTGGATGAATCCCAAATGACCATTTCTAGCGATATTTTGCATTGTTATGGTGCAGGATCCAGTATTTAAATTCCTACATAGTGCACTATGTAGGGAGCAGGGAGCCGTTTGAGATTCAGCCCCAGTGTGAGAAAAGTGGCATTGTCAGACTGGCAGAAAACTCGCGGTGGTAATTTGGTGACCAAAAAGTACTTATAAACTGAAAGTATTTGCATTAAACAGTGCTGTGTTACATGTGTTCACTATACACAAAAAAGTTTTAAAAATCATGAAATGACCACAGTATACAGTGATTGGTGACCAAACTTTCTCCTCATTCAACCTCAGTGGTTGCTTAGCAACGATACTGTCCTCTAAAGGAACAACATTTCTTGGAGGAATACTTGTTTATGTTCATTATTATTAATAACTTAAATAATTATCTAAAACCTTGTGTATTTTAATATATTTTGGTTGGCCATTGTTTTATAAAAGCAATAAGCCATGAGAGGCCGTGTGTTGCGATTTTACCACGGGAAGGGAGTTTTAGATAAAGAACACCCTTCTCTGTGATGAAGTCAGCTTGTTGCTTTACTGAACCATGTTATATTCATTAGATGCAGTGCAAAAGTGTCAGTAAAACTGACTTTGGGCATTTTCTTTGGCAGTTGTATCATCTTATTATTGTTTATTCATCCTGTCTGAAATTCACTGATGCTGCTGCCTAGTAACCTGTGATGCAGTGGTGTAGCTGATTCTGATTGGTCAGTGAACTGAAGAGTCTGTATGAACTGGAACTCACTCTCTGAAACTCTCTCAGTTGTTACTGAATGTAGAGACACAATGATCCGGATTCTGCAGCTGCTGCTCACACTGACTCTGTCTATAAGGACAGGTACGTTTACATTTATGATCATTTTATGAATTAATAAAATAAACATCAGACATGGTATATTCATGTGCAGCAATTTCGTACAGTACAGAAAACTGTCTATCTGGGCAGTAAATATGCTTTTATATAAATACTAATTAACATGAATACAGTAAAAAATATAGACTTTTCAGTTTTCAGTAATGTTATTGCTATGTTGAGCTGTGTGCTGATTAGAAAAGCACACTGAAGTCTGAAAAACTGGGAAAGAGTGTGAAAAAGGTGTGAAAAAGTGATGGATAATTATTAATAATAACTGCACAAATAACTGAAAGACAATCTGTTTTGATGTAATATATTTGATTAATGTGAAAATGATGCAGCCTTTTAAATAAGTCAGTGCTGATTTGGTTCCTCTTCTCTGTGATGCAGCTCCACACACTGTATGAGTTTCCACCAGCAACACACATACTTTAATTTAATGGATTTATTAACCTGATTTATGTTAACCAAGGATTGATTAAACTGGTTTTACATAATGAAATATTGATTAAATTGATGTTGTTTAATTAAGACTCAATTAGATAGATTAACTTTAATGAAGGGCTGATTTGACTTAATGAAAGGCTGATTAAACAAATGTAAATTAATGCAGGATTGATTAGATAAACTAGGTATTGGATGGAAACTGTACATGATTAAGCTAACACACATAATATTACAATAGACTGGATAGACTTATTATTTATTTTTATATTTTCTGATAAATGTTTACTGCACAGATAACTGTGTTCTTCTAACCAGCTCAACACAGTGTTATGACTCATCTAGAATAGGCCGCATCATGAATGAGAGCAGATTCTCTCACCCAGACCTGCTTCAGACCAAAACACAGAACAAGATTACAAATCATCCAGCAAAGATTTGTTTTATAGGTTGTTGCAATCACAATGTCAAAAAGGAGCTCCTCTGGGTGGAGTGACTTTAGGGACAGACATTGATCAAACAATTAACATCACAAACTAAGGATTTTAATGCTGACTAAATCTGAGAAACAAATTGGACTAAAAAGTACACTACACTGGCATAGATCGGGCTTTTGAGGCCATAGCACCTAAACTGTAGAAAACCCTGCCCTGCCCACTCCTTTATGGACTGCTGATTCTGTGGATTCTATTAAAAGGCAGCTAAAGACAGATCTTTTTATACAGGTGTTTGGGTAATATGTGTGCACCAGGTCTGCATTTTCTGTATTTACTGTGTAGTGTATATTTTTATCATGTATTTATGTTGTTTTTATGTTGTATAATGCTTTTGTAAAGCACTTTGTGATGTATGCCTGTGAAAAGCATTTTACAAATAAATTTGACTTACTTACTTAAACTACCCTTACTACCTTTAAAGCAAAACAGGAGACAAGAGGCAGTCCAAAACAAACAGTACCTGCTCATACCTACCCAGGGATGTTAAGATTTCAAGGAGCAACAAACTTAAATAACACAGTTGCAGTGAATATGATCTTTAATATCAATATCAAACTACACAGGTTTAATCAAACAGCCATTGCAGTGAAAGTCAAAACTTTACTGGGCCCCATCTGAGCTGTTTTAGATCACTATAGGGCCCTGTCCTCTGATCCACAGGCCTGACCATCACTTTGTAGCTTCAAAATAAACGCTTTTCTGTGACAGCACAGAAAATGATGTGAGAAAACTGCGCCTGGAAACACTGCAGTGTAAGGTTATAAATAAAAACTCCTTAATAATACAAAGCACAGAGCGGGTTCTCTGTAAAATAATAATGAAAAATAATAATAATAATAATAATAATAATAATAATAATAATAACAACAACAACAACACCCACAACTATTATTTATTTATTTATTTATTTATTTATTTAATTGTTTGTTTGTTTGTTTGTTTGTTTTATAATGATCATTAATATATTTTTAGTTGAGGCTTTTTGTTTTCACTGTGTTGTCTTTATCCTGCTCTTTTCTGTTCTCTAATTCTGCAACATATTTCCCACAACCAAGTAATGATGGAGAAAATAAAATTCAGTATTTGGTGAAAGTGTACTGTGTCGTACTGAATGGCTGTGATGATTTATGTTCCTTTACCGCGTCCGCAAAATGTTGCCGGGCAGCTTCTACACACAGTGTAGTCATTTGAACAGCACAGGGAGATTTGCGCCATTAAGGCGCCTGCGCAGTCTCACGCGTTCCCGAAGCTGATCAGGAAGTGACAGCATTGACCTCAGCTGGCCCCCCACATAAAAACAGCGGGGTGAGTCCGGTTTTTCTAGACGGTCAAAAGGGATAAAGCGCTATCTCTCTCTATGCTCGTACCCTCTTTTGTAGTTGCAGTGCGTCCCCAGATGGCCAATCGCAGACCTGCAACAGGCAAAAAGAGGAAAAAGCAGCACAAACACACAAACATATACATTACAGCCACGGCCGTCACTTCAACAACATTTTACCTGAAAACAAACGGCTTACTTTTTTTGTAACTATATTCAAGTTTATTTGTGTTTACTAACGTTAGTAATGTGTTTTCAAGAAAAACAAATGTTAAAGATTGTTTTGGATATAAGCGATTATTGTACATAATAACCTAAGGTTAATTAAACGTACAAATTTGATAAAACTGTTTAGACAGTACAGTTCTCTGTGTTATGATGTGATCAAGTTTAATGAAACATTGTGACTTCTTTATTTAATAACATTCATATTTATTTGATTGTCTTACACAGACATGTTTGTTACTGTGACTATTAATTTTCTTTTTCTTTGTTTCATTGGCAGATGGGTATTATACGTACACGACAGATGAATGTATCACCAGTTCACCAGATCTGTCGGATGCGGAATTCATCAGGACCACGTATTTTAATAAGGATCCAGTGGCACGGTTTAACAGCACTGTGGGGGAGTATGTAGGGTTCACTGCGCTCGGAGTGAAGAATGCAGAGCGCTTTAACAAGGGACCTGAAGTAGCGCAGATGAGAGCTGAGCTGGAGAGATACTGCAAACCCAATCTACAAATAGACTACTCTAATGTTCTGGAGAAAACAGGTAAGTGACACACAGACTACACTGTTAAAAGAAAACACGAGAGCTTCAACAGCAGAAAAGAGCTGAGCTGGAGAGATACTGCAAACACAACCTGAAAAATGATTTCTCCTACGTTTTGGAAAAGACAGGTAAGCATGAAGCGGAGATGCAGATGAGACTCGCTTCCAGTCCATTTACATTATTTTACTTATTTACAGCCTCAGGGCCGGAAAAAAAATATATTTTGTAAAGCAAACAATGGTCACAACGTTTTGTTAAAAATATATATATTTAAATGTTAGAAACTAATGTTATGTTTAAAGCTAATTTTGTCATCGTTTTAGCGTCTTGCACTTGCATCTTGGCCATGAACACACACAGATGATTAATATGATGTGTAATTATAAGCTATAAAGTCCAATAGTCTTACAATTTTATTGCAGCAAGTTTACTTATTCAAGATAACAAATATTTTTACAGTGTGTACAGTGCTTTATATTAAAGCAGCTTTATTTGATGAGAGATTTTTACAGGATAATAATAAACTTGAGTGCATAATTTATGCACTGTAAAAACTATTTGGGCTTTTAACTTAAAGTTTAAATTTACTTCAGTATTAAGTATAAAGTTTAATTACTTCAGAATTGTGAAGTGGCCCGAACACTAAATTTTTAATGTTAAAACCCCAGTTTTTACACTGTAGAGCATGAAGTTGTAGAGAGAACGAGACAGAATGTTGCAAACAACAAAAAGGCGAAGTCTTATTAAGAAAATAAACAAAAACAAGAACAAAAAAAAAAAGTTTACTAAGTTTTACTAAGGTTTTGTTGAGATTTAAGGAAAAGTTTAATGTAAATCATGTACTCTTTAACTCATATATTACAGGACATCAGGACTGCACACTTACCACCTCAATGTTTTGCTGGCTTCATGTTTTAATTAAAGTCAATGCCATTTAACTATTTTAAATTACAAATATTTAATATTAAGAAATGATAATAATAATAATAATAATAATAATAATAATAATAATAATAATAACGGGAACAAAAATTATGCATTTAAATAACAAAATTGTTTAATTTGTTTGTATTTATGTTTGTTTTACACTTCTGTATATGAGTATTCCCCAGTTTATTTATTTCTGTATTCATTTAGGAATTGGTATGTCTGTTTTTAATATTTAATATTTAGTTATTAGGGGAGGATGAGGTCTAATCCACAGCCATACTGACCAGCACTCCTCTATGTGTTTAAAGTGGAACCTCTTTTAATTTGGCACAGAATTTAAGGTGGAACTCTCCTTAAAGTAGTACTAAAATTAAGGTGGAACAGAATTTAAGGTGGAACTTCAATTAACGTAGCACTAAATTTAAGGTGGCACAGAATTTAAGGTGGAACTCTATTTAAGGTGGCACAGAATTTAAGGTGGAACTGGAATTAACATAGCACTAAATTTAAGGTGGCACAGAATGTAAGGTGGAACTTAGTTTAAGGTAGCCCTAAAATTAACGTGGCACAGAATTTAAGGTGGAACTTTCCATTCACAGTAGCACCTAGCAACGAATTACCATCCACCATGGATACTGCAGCTTCTGCTTAAAAACATTTTGGCAACATTCGTTCATGAACTTTCCGTTTCTAGTTATTATTATTATTATTATTATTATTATTATTATTATTATTATTATTATAACCATGTAAACAAAGCAAACTCATTCAACATTGTGTTCATTTTGGTTTTTTTTATGCATTTAATATCTGATTAGTAAGTGTAACTGATTATTGTACATGACAGAACAGTAACGTATGTATACTCCAGTAAAGTATGTGTCTCTTTATGATGAAAATCTAACTGAATTATGTTTTTGTGGTGACATGCTAAAGGGGGGCTTTTGCCTGTGTCTAGAGGGACTCTTTACTCCAAAGGTCTAACATTTTCACTTCAAAAGAAAAAAAAAACTCATCTTAAAAACCAATGTTAAACTATCTGCGCAACCCCCCATAATTATATATTTATCAAAACAGAGTGAAGAACCTTTTTATAGTTTAAAGAACCTCTACATAGTGTAAAGGTTCTAGGAAGCACCCTGCAATCAGAATAGAACCTTTACATTATATAAGGGTTCTTAAAACCTTTAAATGCTTCTTAACAATTTCCTTTTTCAAATATGATTCTTTAGGGAACCAAAAGTGGTTCTGCTATGGCACTGCTCAAAGATCCCTTGCTGTGCTTTTAATGCTGTGATTACAAAATAGTACATTTTGGTCCACATTCAAATGGGGCCATCTTGTTGGGAAAAAGTCTGGAAATCAGATCAGGCCATTTTAAACCAAAACACCTGTTCCTAAGGAGCTTGATAAGTGACTTTGTGTTGCTATACTGTGAGAGGTTTATGGCTGGGGTTGCACTGTAGAAGGTTAAACCCAGGCATGTACAGTCTTATCTGAAAAGGGCCCACTGTGGCTGCAGGTTTCCATTCCAAACAAACAAGAGCAAAGCTTAATTCCACATGTTTCATCAGTTAGACTCAGTCTCCAACAGATGATCATGTGTGCTTGATTTGCACGCAACCACTCTAGCCCTTTGCAAATGAGACTGGATACCCCTACTTAAGAACCTCGAATGTAGTTCAACAGGTTTGATTCAACAACCACAAGATTTTTTGACTGTGTGAATCATTTGACCAATTTATTCCCCCCTTTTTCACTTCTGGTTCAGCATTGTGTTATAATCACAAATTATGTTCAATATGCTGTTCTTTTTTTAGCAAGAAAGTAAAAACATCTTTCCCAGTGACTAAACTCACTGACGTGTCCCTGCTTTGATGGAAATACAAGAGTTCATATTGCAATGAATGGTCCAAATTCAAATGGAATAGTGAACCATCTTATTGGAAAAAGGTTCTTGAATGTGGACCATTTGCGGGAACGCATTGTGGATGTTTGTTTTAGGATCATGCCAGAGGTGCTTCAGTGTGTTTAGTGTGACTGAGAAAGGCCTGCTGAAAATAGAAGCCATATTGCACACATTTTGTCTGAATGCTCTAAAATTATTTTATGAAAAGGTTGGTTTTATCGATGTACTAATAATATCTGTATTATTTATAGTGAAGCCAAGGGTCAAACTTGTGTCAGAAAAGCCGGGCAATGGTGGTCATCCAGCCATGCTGATGTGCAGCGCGTATGGCTTCTACCCCCCAGCCATCGATGTGTACTGGCTGAAAGACGGTAAAAAGGTGACCCATGCTGTGACCTCCACTGCAGAGATGGCTGATGGAGACTGGTACTACCAGATCCACTCCCACCTGGAGTACACGCCCACATCTGGAGAGAAGATCTCCTGTGTGGTGGACCACGCCAGCTCCAAGGAGCCCATCATCTACAACTGGGGTGAGAATAAACATACATTATTTCCGACTTTACAGGCTAGATGCACTGAGCCACTTCACGCATCTTGGGCTGAGCATAAGTAGTTAGTGGCCTTTTACACCGTAAGTCTCCTAAAACTGGAGTCATTATTCCTTATTAAAAACTCTTATTAAATGCTTAATTGCACAGAGAAAAAGATCTGCCATGAGATCATCTCACGAGATTACAGTAGAAAATTCCTTGGATTTGCATGTAAAATAGAAAAAGCAGGGCTTATGCAAATCAGATTGACAGAGATCCATTTATGTGTGCAAATAGAATGTTGAAAAAAATTGACTATATAAATATATGTATATATACACATTGTCAATTATGAATCAGCATGACTCAAAGTCAAATTAATAAAATGTCTTAATTTACTCAAAGCTTCTTAACATTTTAAATTAATATTAAATATTTGTGTTTACACAGATGGCTCTCTTCCTGAGTCTGAGAAGAACAAGATTGCTATTGGAGCTTCAGGGCTGGTGTTGGGGATCATCCTGTCAGCTGCTGGATTCATCTACTACAAGAAGAAATCCTCAGGTCAGTTCAGATAAGAGTGAGTTATGAGCCATCTGGAGTATTGATGTATTAATCTGATTTACCATAACATTTATTAATGTGTTTTACAGGGCGGATCCTGGTGCCGAGTTAAGCTCTGGTAAGCTTAGTTTCTTTTTATCCATTTGTTTAAAATCTATGAACTGGTTTTATTGTACTCAAACATAGATCACTCCCTTTTTAAAATAAAAAGTGAAGTATTCAGCTCTTACACATTTATCTGGATTCCTGCAGGTCTTTGTGATGTTGAGGACTCACCTTTAATCTCAGGTGGTGAAGCAGGAGTCTACAACAGATTTTGTCATCTGCATCCTGTTCATAGAATACATTTTACACAGCTGTTTTATTTCTAAGACTCTTTACTAAAAGCACAAGCTTGATTGTTTTCTTCTTATGAGTTTTTATGTATTATTAATGATGAGAGGAACTATTAGAAATTGATCTTTACTGCACACATTTATGAGTACATGAATTGTGAAAGAGGTAAACTGATTTTCACATTGATCTACTACATGATCAGTAAAAAACATTTATAGATCATCTTTACTCGAGACTTAATTATTAGGTGTGTGTGATTGTACCTAAGATTTACATTTACTGTTGGAATGGGCAAATCTGGCTTTGACTAACTGAAGAGCTCTTTAAATCTGCTTCTTGAATTATTCATACTTTTACCTTTTCCTTAACAGACCAGCATCAAAGAGACAAACTTCTATTAACACATTTCTATTATCATCACTAGCTGTATGTAAAATACTTCAAGATGGAATTGGCTCTTGATTTTGTATGTATTGGACTGCTTTTAATAAATATTTCTTAATTATTTTGTGTTTAAAGTCTTTTAAATTGAAATACAGTCTTTATAAGCATGCATTTTGTGAAATTATAAGTCATGTGGACAAATTACCTAAGCTTGTATACATCATTTAGCAAAGAGGGCCACCAATCAGTCCTGTTGATTGTTTGGCAATTTCATCTATTCCATCTATTACATCTATTCCGGCTTATCCAAGGGCTGGTGCAGATTTAAGCTAAAACAACTCAGTGCTAATAGTGCAACAAACAAGTAAAACACTTAATTGAACTCACTGAATTTGCTTAGTAAGTCAGCCTCACTTTTATAAATTGTTAAGGACTATTTTTTACTACAGCGAAGAACACTTGAGTATATCTTATATATACATAACATATTTTATGGAAATACTTAAATGAAGGTATTTCTTAAGCTGATACATGCTTAGAAGTATATTTATCATCAACTTAAATGTATTATTTAGAAGTATATTTTAAAGCACTGACTTTTAAGTACATTTTAGTTGTATTTTAGTTACAATGTAACTCAAAATAACTAACAATCAAATATGGGTACATATACACTCAAGACTATACATTTAAAATATGTTTCAAGTATAGTAGGATTTGTATCTTAATTACTTAAATTAGCTTCACTGTAACATAAGTTGTTCCAATTTAAAACAGAAAGGCACTTGTAGGCATAGAATATATCAAGATTACTTAAATATAATTTAAGCACATGTAAGTTGTGTTTAGTTTTTTTCTAACAATATATTTATGTGTATGCTTAATCATGTTCTATAAATGTACTCTTAAATACATTTTATTTGTTGAATGCATTTAAGTGAACTGTCGTTTAAGTAAAACTCAATAAATTAGGCTAAATTGTATCCATACAATTTAGTCTAACCTTCAGTAGTTTAATTTCTAAACTACTGAAGGTTCCAGTGAGCACTGTTGGGGCCATAATCCGGACACAGCAGTGCAACCCCATTTCCAAAAAAGTTGGGACGCTGTGCAGAATGTAAATAAAAAGAGAATGCAATAATATTCAAATCAAATCATGTAAACAATATTTTAAAGGAAAATACTACAAACACAAGATATCAAATGTTGAAACTGAGAAATTTTATTGTTTTTTGAAAAATGATATATCCTCTTCTTTTAACAACACTCTGTAAATGTTTGGGAACTTTGTCATATTTTTCATTTCATAAGGTGCCAAATGTTTTCAGTAGTGACAGATCTGGACTGCAGGCAGGTCGGTTTAGCACCCAGACTGTTTTAATATGGAGCCAGGCTGTTGTAATACATTGTCTTGCTGAAATAAGCAGAGCCTTCCCTGAAAAAGACGTCATCTGGATGGCAGCATATGTTGCTTCAAAATAGCGGGTGAAATAAGTATTGAACATGTCACCAATTTTCTAAGTAATTATATTTCTAAAGGTGGAGCCCACGGAACCTTGAGGATTTGAAGAGTGTTTGTGTGGAAAACTGGGCCAAAATCACACCTGACCAATGCATGCGACTAGTTTCTCCATACAGGAGGAGTCTTGAAGCTGTCATCACCAACAAAGGCTTTTGTACGAAGTACTAAATAAATTTCAGTAAGCGTGTTCAATACTTTTTCCCTGTGTCATTTCTCATTATTACACATAATTTATGGACATCTATGGTTTGATTTCTTTGCATGTGTGGATTGGATGGGTTGTTACCGACATCTGTGAGAATTTCATGTCAATAGAAATATATTTACTTAGAAAATTGGTGACGTGTTCAATACTGATTTCACCTGCTGTATATCGTTCAGCATTAATAGTGCCTTCACAGATGTGCACATCACCCATGCCATGTGCACTATTGCACCCCCAGACAATCACGCATGCTGGCTTTTGAACTGTGCACTGATAACAAGCAGAATGGTCTTTAGCCCGGAGGACACAGCGTCCATGATTTCCAAAAAGAATTTCAAATGTTTTTTTGAACGTGTTCTTGCCAACAAATTCAAAATGGGCATATATTTTTCAAAAAACAATAAAATTTCTCTGTTTCAACATTTGATATGTTGTCTTTGTACTATTTTAAAAAAAAAACGTATAGTTTATATGATTTGCACATCATTGCACTTTGTTTTTATTTACATTTTGCACAGCATCCCAACCTTTTTGGAAATGGGGTTGTAATTCCAAACTTGATTTGAAACATGATATTTAACACATATATCCAATTAATTTATTATATGTAAGATTAAAAATGGAACTTCATTTACTTTATTTAGTTCTGACTTGTATCACACCTATCTGAGCTTGTTGGACATCCCATTCTAAAACCATGGGCATTCATACAGAGTAGCCTCCACACTTCTGGAAAGGCTTTCCACTAGACATTTGTTCCCATTCAATCAAAAGAGCATTTGTGTTGTCAGGTTCTGATGTTGGATGAAAAGGCCTGGCTTGCAATCAGTGTTCCAGTTCATCCCAAAGGTTTTCAGTGAGGTTGAGGTCAGAATTCTGCTTTGGCCATTGAAGTCTCTCCAAACTCATCAAACCATGTCTTTATGGAGCTCATCTTGTCTACAGGGTCTCAGTCATGCTGAAACAGGAAAGGGTCTTCTCCAAACTGTTGGCACAACATTGGAAGCCTAAAATGTCTTTGTATGCTGCAGCATTAACATCACCCTTCAATGGAAGTAAGGGGCCCAAACACTGATAAACAGCCCCAGCCCATCATCCCTCCTCCACCAAACTCTACTGTTGGCACTCCAGATGGGTAGTGTTCTCCTGGCATCCACCAAACCCAGATTTGTCCATCAGACTGCCAGAGAGTGAAGCATGATTTATCACTCCAGAGAACATGTTTCCACTGCTCCAGTCCAGTGGTGCTTTATACCACTCCAGCTGACCCTTGGCATTGCACATAGTGATCTTAGGTTTGTGTGCAGCTGCTTAGCCATGGAAACCCCTTTTGCCTTCAACAGTTTTTGTGCTGATGTTGCTTCCAGAGGTAGTTTAGAACTCTGTAGTATGTGATGCAATACATGCGCTAAATGTTATGCACTACATGCTTCAGCACTCGCCAGCCCTGCTCTGTGGGTTTGGTTGGTCTACCGCTTCATGAGCTGTGTTGCTCCAAGACGATTCACAAAAATAGCACTTACATGCGACTGGCTCATGCCCTGAATCTGTGCTGTCAATGTTTCAGGATAGATTTCTCCTGGTTCAAAATGCCTTTGCTAACCTTAACTTGTCATTGAACATTTCAAAGACCATATATCATTCACAAAAATAGCACTTACAGTTGACAGGGGCAGATCTAGTAGGGCAGACATTTCATGAACTGACTTGTGGCAAAGGTGGCATCCTATGAAAGTGCTACATTTAAAGTCACTGAGGCCTCAGTATGACTCATTATACTGCCAGTGTTTGTCTATTGAGAGTGCAAGGCTATGTGCTTGATTTTCTACACCTGTTAGCAATAGATGTAGCTGAAACACCTGAGCTCAATAATTAGTAGGGGTGTCCACATACTTGGTCATATAGTGTCTTTCTGGATGTCAGCTGAGGTGAATTTTTGGAACCAAATGAAAGCAGAAGTGAGAAGTGATTACTCAGGTAATCAGTGACCTAGTAGCCTTTAATTACATTCATGTGCTTTAGGGACTGAAATAGAGCAGAAGTGTGTGATAATGTTGGTGTTTATTTTGGCCTATAGTGTATATAAAAGTTTTCAGTGTGGCCTAGTGTCCTCTGCAGCCCTGTTCAATTGGATCACCACCTCCATCTAAGCAAGAAAAAGTTTAAAGAGAGTGATTGATTTGATTATTAAGTGATAAAGTTTTATAAAATACACAACTAGTATCCTCCATCCTGGAATAGAGATAACAAGACTCTATAGATCAATGGCTGTCAAAATCATCACCAACATTGTTTTCTGATATACAGCGTAATTCAAAAATATTAATTCTGATTTCCATATTTTTACAACCATGAGGCACCTAGGAACCAATCACATACCAATTGAAAGAGGGGGTCATAGAATTTCTGACTGTCAGTACTGCAGTGAAGCTCCAACAGCTCAGAGCATTCATAGTTGGTACCAACAGTTCCAAGAAAAAGGTCACCAGCATCACCAGATCTCACGCCGTGTGACTTTTTTGTAGGGGGACGTTAAGGATTCTGTTTATCTGCCACTCCCAACAACACTGGATGATCTCTGAAATCAAAAGGGTCATGAGTGCAGTGACACCCGACATGCTCAATCGAGTATGGGATGAATTTGACTATGGCGTTGATGTTGTCCGTACAGCTGGAGGAGGTTCATATTGAGCACTTAGAAACTTACATAATAACTTTATGCTTATGCTTTGGTCATTTACAGTTTACTGCCTTGTTCTGTAATGATTTACAAGCGAAATAAATAATTTTGAAATCAGATTAATCTTTTAAATCACCCTGTATATACATTAATAAGGGCAATCTGAAAGGAAATCTTGACTAAAAATTAAAATGCCAAATTGACACTGTTCACAGATCTATGATTCTGCATTTATATACAATTAATATTGC